TGTATATATTACAAAAAATTGGACAATCTTGAAGCCACTTGTGAATGAAGTCACCAGGAACCCGTTTCTTCAATATGAGTGGTGATTGTAGTGTTACTTGATTATCTACAGATTTAGTCAAAAAAGGGTTTTGTTTCGCTGTTAAAAAAAATATACTGTTAGTTCTTACTCAATCCATCCACCCTGGCTGGTGGCCGTGATCACATAAACAAATCAAAGTCTGCGATTCACTCAAGTGCTGTTGTTTTTGGGCTCATCACTTATTAGAAGCGTCATGCTAGCAAGGTCAACAAATCTAATTATTGTCATTGCGATAGATCAATATCGGTAAAACATAGTCTTTAAAAGGAATTTCCCAAGCATCGCATGACTTCAAACTCATAGCTTTTTTTTTGTTAATAAAATTTAAAAAAAACTATCGATAAACTAGAGATATTGTTCTACACTCTATTCAAAAATGGGAATGATATCTCTTTTCCGTGGACTAGTAGCATTTAGAAAAATGCGTTTTTCGGAATATGATCAAAAACTCTCTGTACCACCGATATAACTATGGGAATAGCGTCTCTTTTTTTCATGGACTAGTTCAACACACAAGTTATTGACTTTTAAAAAGAGTTATTGCATCATTATTGTGTCAGTTTATTGTTGTAGTTAGAACTAGAGAAAACAAGGAATACAAGGCTAATTCGTCCTAAGTCTTAAGTAGAAGAGATCAAAACTGAACTTTTAAAAAAATATAAATCATATTCAGAAAAATATGACTCTTCTTCTGAGACCATCACGATGAATCAGGCCTCAAAGTGTAATTATTTCAAAAAACTACTTGATCAACACCAAAATAATAATCAATCAACAACGAATTTGCTCAAAAGAAATTGAATGTTTAGATTGGTATGCATCAAGAACAATATTGTCATTTGGGAAAATGACATAGATAATAGAATTAAAAGAAGATCTAACAAAAAAAAAACAAAAAACATAAATACAAATGAAAAACCTCAAAATCAAAATAAGGATCTTAACACTAACAACAAACAAAATTACATTATAAATATAAACCATTCTATAGAAAATTCAAACAACAATGTATTGCACTAGGTACCCTTAATGGTAGCACAGGTGTTAGGAAATAATCAAAGAAAATATAATATGAATCACAATATTTATCTATTTTTCTCTATATGTTCTTGTAATTTCCTTAATAATAATAATAAAATAGGTTAAAATGTAATAGTAGATCACTCTTAATTCTTTAATATGGTTCACGTCATCTGAAAACGACACCAATAAGCTGATAGAATTAAAGCTAAAGACTACTTTTCATTTGTATCGTTCATTATTTTATATATGCCTATATCTCTATATATAAATTTTAAAATTTCAGGCTCTCTTTTTATTATCATTCTGGTCGGTAAAATCATGTGATAATTTTTTTTTTAACGCGATTTTAATAATTTGTAAATTTAATCTAACTTTATTATTCTTTATAATGGAACGTGTTTCTAAAAGTAAAACAACTTATAAAATCAAGAAGGAATTTCTAATGGTTTGTTTGGTAGGAAAAGGCATAAAATTGATACTGGAGTTGCTGAATCAATTGAAAATTTAAATGAATATGTACCTTTAGATTTTAAGAATTAAATGGGATAATTACTTTATCACTTTAGAAAATGAATTTGATACGGCCTCTGGTGTGAGATTAATAATAGGAAAATCAAACCAATAGCCAGAATTTTTTAATTGTAGAAATTTAAAATGACAAAACGTCACACTTTAATTGTAAATCTTTGTTTCAGTAGGTGAAATATCACGTTATCGGCTAAATAAAAGAGAATTGAAGTCTTTGAAGCATTGTAATTTAGTAAATATAATTTATCATCATAGCTATCATATATTTATTTGCTTTAGTGTTATTAACTCTATTATTATTATTATATTTTAAAAAATATAATAGTGTATCGAAAGGTTGATTTATAATTAATGAGCAGAATACATAAGAATTATTCACTATTTAAAAGTATATATTCAATGAGGCATTATTAAAATTATAAATTACATTTTATTATTATAATGGCACGATTTTGAAATTAACCTTTGGCCGAGGAAACTTAACCACGGTGAATTTAAAGAATCCTCCGTTAAAGAAATTTTTTGTTTCAAAAAATTTTAGCATTATATAAATATAAAATAGATGCATATATTTTTTATTTATATTGTTTAATAAAATAAACCAATAATTTATCATCCTATAATAAATAATTTATAATTAATATCATCTATATTAATATCAAAAAAAAAAAAAAATAACAGAATAACATTGATAAAGTTTTTCTTTAAGGATAAAAATTTTTATTGCATGCTGGTTGAATTTAGACCATCAACTTTATGAAAATCTTTTTCACAAATATCATAGAATAGAGATTATTAATAAATAAAGAATAAAGATTTTAAAAAATAATTCCTTAAATAAATAAATAATACCTAAAATTTCTTGATACATTCTAACTTTCCATTCATCAACTGGAAGGTCTGCATCATTAAACGACCAATCAAATGCTTCATCAGCAATTGGCTCATCTGATTCATCATGATACTGTTCCAAGTATTTATGAGCTAGAGCTTGTTCGGCAGTAATACGTTTTTTTGGATCAAATACAAGCATTTTTTCAAGTAAATCGAGTGCTTTAAAATTTAAAAATCATTATAAAATAGCCTGTTATCATTTGTAATTAAATGTGCAATAATTATATATCATTTGATTACCATCAGGATCAGCATTTGTAAACTTTTGTGAGAATGGAATCTTTTCTCTTTTCGGTAATGAGAGTACAAATCTTAAAGTCTACAAATCAAGAAAAACATTGTTTAGTTTTTAAATAACAGGCAAGCCAAAAAACTGAACAAACGAATGAATAAATAAATAATACATTTTCACTACAGATTGTTTTGATCACATCTTCTGGTGGTGTACCAAGTAATTCAGTAATAATTGAAAATTGGTTTACATCTAAAAAAAAAATTAATAATAATTAATAATTTTCAAAATGTTTTTTTTTTATTAAATTAAAATTATAGCTTACGATCTTTCCCAGGAAATAAAGGTTTTCCCTCTAACATTTCTGCAAAGATACAACCAGCACTCCAAATATCCACTATACAATATAAAAATCTAATTATTCAAATATATAACATTGATATATAATACAATGACATAATTCGTTACCTGCTACATCATATTTTTGCCATGTTAACATAATTTCAGGAGCTCGATAATACCTTGTTGAAACATAACCAGTCATTTGTGGATCTTGAATACGAGCCAGACCAAAATCACAGATCTTTAAAAAATATAATATATTTTATATTTATATGTATGAATGCATGTATGATATTAAATTATTTTTAAAATATATTTTATACAAACCTTCAAGTCACAATTCTCGTTAATTAGAATATTACTAGGTTTCTAAAATGAATATATAATGTGATTATTAATTCTTATTTTTTAAAATATAAAAAATTTATAATTATTACAAACCAAATCTCTGTGAACTACACCAGCTGAATGAACATATTTTAACCCACGCTATATATATAAATATAATATAAAACTTTTCTTTTTTTGAAAAAAAAGAATATTATCAATATACTTTAGAATCTTTACCAATATTTGATATAAGAAATACTGAATAAATTGTTTTTCCAATGGTCGTGAAGTTAACAATCGATGTAAATCTGTTCCTAATAATTCAGTAACAAAATATCTGTATATATTGATATTTAAAACAAATATCAATATCGATTATCATTAATTTTTACCAAAAAAAATTTCATTATGATGAATTGTTTTTTCATTAATTTACACATACATACATATCTTCTAATGGAGAAATAAAAATATCACTTAAACTGATAATCTATATTTATTAAAAGAGATATAAATAATAAATAAATTAGTCATTAGTTCAAAATAATTGATGAATAATAAAAATAATAATCACATTTTCATGTTTTAGATGCTTGAGTAGCTTTAATTCACGATAAGTCCTTTTTGAAAGAACAGATGTGCTAAAAGGCTTCATTATTTTCTTAATGGCGACATTAACTCCAGTAAGTTGGTCTTTTGCTGAACTAATGTATAATAATCGAAAATTTTTAACTTAATGTGAGGCATTACTTAACGTAAATATAACTTTCTGAGCCTACCAAACTAAACCAAATGCACCCATGCCAACCGGTTGAAGATCCACATATCTAAGGTATTTTTTAAAAAGTTTTATTTTACATGTTTACTATTTGAAAATGCTTTAATAATAATAAAATAAGTATAAAAATGCCTTGTAGTAACTTCGAAAACAGTTCCAAATATCGATAACTTTACAAAATCAGCCATCAAAAGAAAAATCAAAAAAAATAACTTGTCGGAAAAATTTCAATTTGAAAAAAATTCTAATCGTTTAAAGATTAGATCAATTAACTTAATTTGTATAGTGAAAGCAAAGCCATTCATTCACTTAATATTTTTTTTTGTGTGCATAGATCGACATTTCTATTTTAATCAATATGTATCGGAGAAAACCCCAAGATTTGTGTAACCCAACAAAATACAGCATTTGGCTAATTTTGTGATGATCCCTCTTCCAGATATATCACACAATAATTAAGTTTTGTTGGCTTGAAGATCATTACGCAATTTGAAAATATAGGGAAGGAAATTTAGTCTGAATGGAATCAAAATGAATTTCAAATTGATGCAAGGATATGTATACACACTTAGGTGGTAGAAGTAGTCATCACAAAATCATCATATCTATAGATGGGCGTCAAAACTAAATCAAAATATTTAGTTTTGTCGCCCATCTATATTGTAGATAAACGAGCAAGTTCCACCACAAATTGAAAATTTTGATTAATAAATCATGCATGACAAGTATCTCTTTTTATTTATTTTTAAATAATATATAAATAGATATATATCTAACTCGGAAATCGAAATTAATATATACAATAAATAAACAGCAACAATAAAGTAATAAATATAACATTCTAATGCTACAAGTATCTAACTTCATCAATACCCAAACTTCTCCTGACTTGTATTATAGCCACTAATTCTTTTATTGCTTCTTCCAAAATAACCACATTATTAAGTAGTGTGCTTAATGTAATTTCCTTTGGTTTAGATTCATTTGATTTAGTTCTTGTTTGCTTCTTTGAGGACGTTAGTTCATCATCTTCTTCTTCTCCGATATCGTCAATTGGATCTTCCTCTTCATTGACAAAATTCGCGGGGAAAAGTGGCTTAATTTTAATGCTTTCAGTTTTGCTGAAATGCGTTGTAAGTGGTGTAACAATATTAGACGAAATAGGAGAAGATTTAAAAGTTGATAATGGTGAATTGATTGGTGATGTTGATGACGTATCTTTACGCGAGAAAGAACGAGATCTTTGAGGAGCTTTCATTGGTAATGAGTTATTTCGGCGAAGGTTTGTGTTGGAAGAACTCGAAGAAATGCCTTTTGGAGATGCGCGGGTTGCAAAGGCTGTAGATGATTGTTGTCTAAAGAAATTTTCATCAATTTCATCTTCTGTGTCAAGTAAGCCACTTCTTCTCTCATCAAGATATTGGTCAAAATCTTCTATTTCACTTCGATAATAATCAACTTGCTGTGTTAAGGTCTTAAAAATTGTAAAGAATGGTGGGAAATTGGCCCATTTTGGAACTACTCCAATAGTATTATTTGCTAATGCACTTTTTTCAAAATCATGATCTATTGAACGATCGTCTGATTCATCCAATACATCACTTTTCTTATTACCAGACCCACTACTATCACTACTACTGGCAATAATTCCAAGTGAACGTTCAAGATTTCTGGCCTCGTGTTGAAGACTTTCAAATTCTTTGGCTGAAGAATCTTGCCGGCTATCTAATCTATCAGCACCACTAAACACTAACCAGCCTTCTAATGATCTATATGGGCATATGGCAAGTGCTGAAATTACTCCAGTCAAAGTAAGGTTCAATTCAGGTGAATGAGCAAAAAAATTGGAAAGTGTACCGATAAGAATTTGTAAAAGTGAATCAGCAGGTTTTAAACGATCTGTTGGGTTTAATTTATGTTTTAGCACATGATGAGTTTCCGCATGACTATGCTTTTTGGGATTCTTGCCTTGACTATAAGCTGAATAATTTTTTCCTTTATTTTTATTGGTTTTAGGATGAGCTGGTCCCTCTTCTGTCCATTCTAAATCTTGTCCAATACGATAACATAAATCCGCTTCTATACTTGCTTCTGCATCACGTACATAAGATTCATATCCATTTGTGATAATTTCTACATTTTGTTTTGGATTAATTGCCAAAATTAATGAATAGAAAAGATCCAATTCTCTTAAATGATGACTCATTGTTATAGGCTTAGGAATTGGAGCACCACTTAAAGAATGTAAGTCATTGTTGTGAAAACTTTCGATCATATAATTTGGACTGGGAAAACAAGTAGCATTTTCATCTAATTCAATATTTAACAATTTAATAGAATACCAACAATGTTTAGAGATAAGATTCTGAAGAAGCTTTAGAGCGGCGATGACTGTTGACTGTGACGACGAGCGCAAACGTGAAAATATAAGATCTTTAAGAGTAAATCTACCAATAGCCGTAAAGTAAGGAGAAGAGGTATTAGAATTTGTATCAATTCCTGAAAACCAGTTTATAGTGCTTTGACGCTTTGCTGCTTTATTATTTGGAAGTGTTTGATTCCAAGAATTTTCTTCGTCGCTATCAGAATCCATCAAGAAACCTACAACCAAGTCAACCAACTCCTCTTGATCCAAAGTTTGCAAAATTATATCAATATAAGAAATAACAGCAACAGATGAACCATCAGTATCAGAACATTCTAGAATAGACGGATATAAAATATTTTCTAGAAAATGTGCTTTAATATTTTGAAGCAATGCTGTTGAAATTTCTGAATTTGGACACCTATTCAAAATATCTTGACAAAACTCTAACAATTTTAAAAATGAATCAAGTTGACTTTTAAACGCAGGGGATGAAGAAACTTCAATGCCACCAGAACGTAATTTTTCAAGTTCAGCGGATGTATTATCACCAAAACGAAGTAAAGTGGCGTTTGTTAATCCGCCACTTGAACTTTTTACCATCAACTTTCTAGGTAATTGTGAATAAAGAGCACCCAAACCGGCTGCCATGATATTAGCAAAGTCACTTTCTAAAATATAGTCTGCTAATTGACCATCAGCAAGTTCCATTATAAATAATAAACCAGTTCTAGCAAAGTCTCCACATTTGCCTTCCCTATGTACAAATTGTAATAAATAAGCAAAAAGAAAAAATTCATATTCTGGTTTTTCGGTTTCTTCGGTAAATTCAGTTGTTTTTGCATGATCAGTAGTTGAATTGCTTGTCATGGATGCACCATCATCTATATTTCCATCTTGACTATTACTAATATTTAATGAGAGGCCTAATTCTTTTTTAGTATACTTTTGAGGCGTAGTTAACCAATTTGCATCATAAAAAAATATATTTAGAAGAGCAGGAAAACCATGAATTTTAGAACAAATGATATACATCAGATCCACCAAGTCTTCATCATACACTTCACTTTGTTGTTCATCATGAACACAAGTACGAAGTAGACTAACAGTTGGTTGATGGACAGAGTTATGAACTAAAAAACGATCATCTAAGAGATCAATTAATTCTCTGACTGCACGAATAATTTCACCACGAATACCTAGTGGGGCATCATCTTTAGATAATTTTACCAATTCTTTGAGAACATTATTTTTTAAAAATTCTTCCATACAAACACCAGTATTCACTTCTTCAAGATATAGGCCCTCTTCGACAAGAATTCCTACCATTTCTTTGAGACGTTGTGGAATTTCTGTTTGATTAACATTAGCTGGCATAGAATAAACTTTTTTCTCATCTTGTTCAAAATATCCCTAAACAGTAGATTTTAACATCAAAAAATTATTGATTTAAAATTTCAAAAAAAAAAAAAAAGAAATACAACTTTTAATACTTACTAGAATGCCTTCCCATGCATTGTGAAACTTTGCAAGTTGTTCGGCATGAGTAGGTTGTGTTTTTTGAGGTGTTATTTTACTTTGTAAATTTTTAAAGTAATCCATTCTAGGAGGTTTTTTTTTTTTTGAGAAATGAAGTCGCGCGAAAATAGTTTTTAAGTGTCTTACAAAATAAAGTTCATCACCAATACATTTTCTTATTTTAGTTTTGTAAAGTGGCACATGCCATCATAAAAAAGATCAAATAGATGATGAAAAAAAAATGAACAAATGATACTAAGAGAAAAATCGACCCGAGTCTTGTTCACCGTGGTCGAAACTATTGTGATGATTTTGATACAACATTACTCAACAATACTCCAAAAGTGTATATTTAGGCTTAATAAGTACAGTCAAAGTGGTGTTATTGAAAAGTTATTATTATTTCTAAAAACTTTGAACAGAACATCTCCCAATATTTTATATGCATTTTCACAAGTCCATAAAGCAATTCGTCAATCTGCAACCTTTACTGGAAATGAAAAGATATTTATGAATAATCTTAAAGCAGGAACTGTGATAGGACAATTGAGTACAGCACTACAAAATTTGCATTACGGCTGTCACCTGATCAGAACACTATATTAAGCTGATTAGTGCATGTCAAAGAAAAGATAACTAGTTTTAGGGTATTAATGGACTTTTGAATAAACAATTCGAGCAATTTACACAATGTCCGAACAATATGAGATATCCTCGTACACTTTTATTGATGCCTCATGGAGCAGTGCAGATATTAAATTTGATTTTCCATTATTAGTAAGTGTTCATACACCTTACACCGGAATGTCTACTACCTCCCTTAGACCAAAATTTATAAGATCAAATAGTAGTGTTACTGTTGTGCCATATTCAGCAGGAGCTTCCTCGCTATATTTTTTCAGAGTGTTATCATCACTTTATAATTCTTTAAATGTACCTACAAGTGCAGGATCAAGACTACAACTCGAATACTGACTTTTTGTTTTCAATAGTTATATTTGTTCAAGAGTAGTAGAAATTGCAATTACGTTGTAAAATCTATGAAATATCACTCGTTGGAAATAATGACAACTTTGTCTCTCTTCAATGATGCCACTTTGACTGTTTGCTGCTGAACTTGTCAAGCCTGAAGATACACTTTTGGAATGATTGTCGAATAAATTTATTTCTGAAATTGATTAATGTTTTATCAAATCATCACAATAGTTTCAACAAGACTCAATTTTGGAACAGGACGAATTTTAGTATCATTTGTTCATTATCATCATTTTTTTACTATCAATCTTTTTATAATGGACGACACTTGTCATTTTACAAAACTAAAGGATGTTTATCAGATGGTGCGGAAAATGATCTAGAACCTGCCAACGAAATCATCATCAAATGAAGCTACCATACATTTAAAGAAATCTTTATTATCAGTAAAATCATTTACAAGTAATAAAGATGATGATCCATTCATATAACTTAAAATTTATGATGAAACAATGGCCCTTCTTCAGGTAAATAATAATTTGATTTTTGTATGTTAAGAAACAATTGGATTAATCTTTTTTATAAAATTTTTTTTTCTTAGATGACAACTAACTTGTGTGAATTTGCAAAAGGAAGTTTCACACAAATGGCATGGAGTAGGAAAGTTACATTAGGGTTAAGCCATGTGTTAATTTAATGGGTTAATCATGTGATATCCCTAGTGATGGGGCAGTTTCACTAACAAACGGTTTGAACTCGGTTTTGTGGTTTTTATTTTGGTTTAGTTTTTGGGAACTGTTCAAATCGGTTACACATGTTCAAAATGTGACACAATAAAAATTTTATTAATGTTGAAAGTCATTGCCTTTCTTGGTATTTTAATAAGGGTTCGTGTAATGTTGTTCAAACCGTTTTTTTAAATTATTTTAATTATTTTACAATGCACAACTCCATAAATATTAGCAGGACATCTATAATGGTCAATGATTATCACATGACTTTAAAAGCTTATAACTTCTTATTAAAAAAAGTAAACTGATAAGATTAAAGCTAAAGACTTGAGCTTCATTTCCATCGGTTTACTTTTCAAAGTTAGGCCATTTTATATATGTCTATATGTAAATTGTAAAATCTTTTCCTAAAAGGCCGATGATCGGCTTAAATTTTTTTCGTGATAAGAAATTTTTTTCCAAAAAAGAGATCTGATTACTTAAATTAGAGATATCTTCTAAAGTTTAAATTTCGGACTGATAAAAAAATAAAATTTCACGTGTATATCACGTTTCTTCAAAAATATGTGCGTAAAAAAATTTTCCATTGTGATTCATTAATATATAAACAAAAGATAAAAGATAGATTATTATTGTTCATAGAAAAAAATGGATTTAATTTTGGAAATTATTTCGCTCGTAATTTTAACAAGTATGATTAAAAAAATAAAAAAATAAAACGCTAATAATATCACCATTATCGTGAATCTTATTATATTATTTTTAAACAGACATAATAGCCTATATTGCATTAAAATATACAACCAGGTCACGTGAACTACCAACTTTATCTCAACGAGTTTCGGCAACTTTTGCAAAAGCCTTTACAGAGAATTTACCATTATGGTTAATAAGGATATTATATGATATGATTGGATGGTTTGAACAAGCAATCAACGGGTTTTTAATTGGTAAAAAACGCCGTAAATGGTGTCGTAAAATAAAGAATGGTGAAAATTGGACAGGATATTTGATTGCCGAAGATGCACAAAATTTAGAAGTTGGAGATGATGCAGATGTTGTTATTTTATATGCTCATGGTAATAAACTTATAATATACATTTATATCAATACGTCAATCAATATTTATTCTATAATTGTATTTTTAAGGCGGTGGATTCACTTGTGGTAATGCATTATTATCTCTTGTTGTTTTTGTAAGGTGGATAAAGTCTTGGAAATCAAGCCATAATGTAAATGTTCATATATTATCTTTAGAATATGGTAAGTGTAATATAATATATTCACGCGTGAAAAAAAAAATTTTTTAGAAAATAAAAATAATTAAGGATTTTGTTTTTTTAATTTTTTTTTGATTTGTTAGCCTTATCACCGGAACATTGCTTTCCAGCTGCAAGAGAAAATATGATAGATTGTTATTTATGGTTGGTGAATCAGAGGAAAATTAGTCCATCAAAGATAGTTTTTGGTAAGAATTAATTAATAATTATATATATTATATATATATATATATATATATATATATAATTATTATTATTAATTAATTAACAATAAAATTAGCTGGTGATAGTGCGGGTGCGAATCTGGCAGTTGTAAGTGCATTATATATTTTACACAACCAAGTTAAATTATCAGTTGCAACTCCATCAGCTTTGCTTTTAATATCACCTTGTTTTTCTGTAAGTGTTTTAATTTTGATCATTTATCCATTTTAATGTTTCTTGAATACTTATATTTTTTTATTCATATTTATAATATAAGGGATCTACAAATTATCCATCATTTCAAGCTAATAAACAAAATGATAATTTGAGTGCGGAATTTTTTCGTTATTGTTTAAAGCAATATTTGGGCGATAGTGGTCAATCACCAAACAGCCCGTTGATTTCACCAATAACTGAAATTCAACTTAATGGATTACCAAAGGTTTGGGCATGTGTGGGAAGTTATGAGATTATGTTGGATAGCGTAGTCGGATTCATTGAAAAAGCCAGGTCACAAGAAGTCAAAACCGAGTTGATTGTAGCACCTCGTAACATGCATGATTATGCCATTATATGGCCAATAAATAGAGATAATGCTGCCGAATTAGCAATGAAATCAATGGCAAAATTTTTATTTGTTTAATGATTAATGAATTTTATACATATATATGTGTATTAAATAAATCACACGTAAACCATTTACATTTGTACATTTTTAGTGTTTATTATTTGTTGTACATTTGATTTACTGTGCTTTTTTAGAATCGGCACGCATATTTGTTTAATTAAAAAGTAATATTCCACACTTTTTTAATCAGAATAATTTTATTAATATTCATTAATAATTTCTTTCCTTTGAAACCTTAAAAACCAAAACCATAATAAAAAGCATTAGGGCATTTCTTTTTCTCAATCAATAAAAAAACGATATTACTATATAATTTAAAAAATTTTTTTTAAGATTATGGCTTGGAAAAAGTCATTATGGACTTTCCTTGCTTGTTTTATTATAGTTTCATCATCTTTAACAAAGTACGCTGAAGCAAATGAAGAATATTTGGTATCGCTATTTTCATATGTTTTTTAGTTCCTTTTTTAAAACAAATATAAATAAATGTTTTGGTCTTTTTAAATAGTATAACGATGAGAATTATAGAATGAGATGTTCTGGGATGTTTGATAAAGAATCAATACCCAATGGAGTTGCTCCTCTTATTTTATGTAAAATTTAAATTAACTGTTTAAAGGTTATATACAAAAGTAAAGAGAATTGTATTTATTTATTAATAATATTATTAATATCATGTCACTATTACCAACAGTAAAATATAATGTTGATTCGCTTCAAGATGCTGCCACAATTATTTATGAATGGTCAGATAGAGATAAAATAGGTGTTATTTCACCAGAAGATAATAGCGTAAGTTGTAAAATAATGGTCTTTTAATCGATCAGTATTTATTTCTAATTGTTTTTATTTTTTATTTATAGAGAATTTATATTTGTGACGGAACAGCAATCGAGAAAAAATATTGTAGTAGCGAAGATCTTGGGCGAATCATAGTTAGTAGTAATGAAACAAATTTTGAAATCATTCGACAGACATTCGATCCTGCAGGAGAAGATTCATCAAGCCCTATTAAATATGAAGTAAAAAAATCAGGCTATTATTGTGCAGCTGCGTTACCTTCACCATTAAACCAGCTTGGTGAATTTACTGTTACCGTTGAATGGCATAACCCATATGGTGAATTGCCTGCATCCGATTATCCAAAATTACCAGTAAGTGGAATTTCACTTTCATTTATTCATTCATCCATCCATCCATCCATTCATCCATATGTCCATACATTCATTCATTTATTTATTTACAATGACAATTAATTAAAATATTGAAATATTATTGTTAGTTTTATGGATCTCTATCATTAACTTATTTAGTGATTGGTTTATTATGGATGGCACTTAGTATATCGCATTGGAGAGATATTTTGCCTGTTCAGGTATTATATTAAAATAATAATAACTAAACTGATCAGTTAAAACAGACAATAGTAATAATAATTTGATTAATGATTAATGATAGAATTATATATCCGGAGTTATTTTCTTTCTCATGATTGAAATGGCATTTAATTGGGGTTATTGGGAAAATTATAACAAAAACGGCTATTCATGTGAGATAATCGATAATTTATTCATACATTTATTATATTTTATTAAATGCTTAATTATTTATCTCATATATTTCTATTTTATTGTTGTTTAGCTGCCATTCTTTTGTGTTTAGTTGCTGTTTTAAATGCGGGAAGAAATTCAATTTCTTTCTTTATGCTTTTAATTGTTTGTATGGGTTATGGAGTTGTAAAGTAAGAAAAAAAAGGATTGACTTATTTATTCATATAATTGTTTATGCATTTATTTGTCAGTTAAATTAATCGACTAATCACGAAAATTAATCAATATCACGCATGATATAATTAGACCCACACTTGGAAGCACAATGAATAAATGTAGAGGATTAGCTGCTGCTCATTTTGTATTTGGGGTCATATATGCTGGCGGCACATTATCATTAAATCCTGATACTGGGAATCCTTTAGTTCTTTTAGTAATATTTCCATTGGCTTTAACAATGACATCATTCTATATCTGGACTTTGCAATCCATAAACAACACTTTACAAACGTTGGAAATTCGTAAACAAACCGTCAAAAGTCTAATGTACAAAAGATTATATAGACTATTAGTATTTTCTGTGACAATATTAGGTGTATTCTTTTTCATTAACATGTTTAATTATATGCATCGAGAAGATCCTGAATGGATACCGAGATATTGGAGATGGAGATGGTTTTTATTGGATGGATGGCTAAATATTTTATATTTGGTTGTTTTCGTTGTCATCTTAATCATTTGGAGACCAACAAAAAATAATAAAAGATATCCTTTTGTTTTGATCTTGGATCTTTTGATAAAATTATTAATTTATTGTTTGTTAATCCTTAACGTATATATATTTATTTTTTTTTTGATTACATTTGCGATGAGTGACGAATTGACACAATACGATGAAGATTACGATTTGGAAATCAATAATTTACGTACAATGGACAACATAGGTTATGATAATGTCAAGTATCGTAATGCGGGTGGTGGTGATGGAGAAAATAGTGAAACGGATAGATTGGCTAATGATGAATCCACTATATTTGATATTGGAGATGTTGACGATGAAAGTTATACTGATGGCAATACACCTAGGAATAGCACTAGCAATGTTAAAAAGGATGAAGATGATAATAAAAACGTCGTTACTAGCGACACTGATAAACAAACGTAAGGATTTTTAAACTAGTATTAGTATCCGATTTGGGGTTCCCTCTTTTCTTAGATTTGTTTCAATTATGTTTACATACTTTATATATATATAATAGTGATTGAAAAAGCAACAACTATTCATAATAATAATAACATTGCAAAAATTTAATAAATGTATTTATCAAAAATTATTATTTTAATATTAGTACTCTTATTAATCAATAAACTAACTGTTAATTTATCCACCGTGTAAAGTAGAAATAAAAACTATATTATCATTATCATTTAATTCATAATTTAATTCACCTTCCAATTCCCAATCAGTTTCATTTATCAAGACTAATATTCCAGGACGTCTTTTTTTTTTTAAATTAAAAAAAAATCATATTAAATATTTATATAATGTGAATTTATAATAATTCATATTTAATTATATTTACACTGTATCACCATCAACAAATAATTCAGGTCTTTCTTTCAATAAATTATCTTTTATCCAAGATATCTTTAAAAAAAAAAAAACAGTGGTAAATATTTTAATATATAGTAATTATTACAATTTCATAAAACAAAAAGTAAATAAAAAATTTTTACAAGATCTTTCATGTTTGTTGGATTAGGAGGGTTGATTGATTTCGGTAAATTTATTAATGTTTTCTTTACATTATTAAATAGTAATTCCATACCACCACTATTATTATTGGAAATGAAAAATTATTACTAGGAGAAAAATAAAATAGAAATAAAACTATAAATTTATTTACCTAAATGATAAATTTATTTCCATTATTTTATTTAGAAAAAGAAAAATCTTTAATTTTGTGGTCTCTAGTTTAACTTGCCAAAATAATGAGTCAAATGTTTGTGTAACTTGCAACAAGGGTCTGACTATAATAATAAACGAGATTAATCTCTTCTTCAATAACACCATCTTCCATTTAGGGTCTATTACTTGGCTCTTTAGGGACGTGTGAAGTTTTTTGATTCAAATAATAAATCCCACAGATATAAACGGAGAAAACAAAAGGTCGCAAAACCAAAAGGAAACAAGAGATGAGTTTTTGGTGCTTTATTTTTGATTTAGGGAGAATGGATAACATCTGCCAGTGTTATGGTCTTAGATTTGCTGACAGAATCACATAGTCATTCCAAGTGGCTCATAAAAGAACGGTCATCTGATTTCAAGCCACTATAATGAAAGGGAAAGAACTTTTTTTTCAATCATTCTTTGAAATTGGATGAAGAAATTTGAGGCTTCAGGCAAGGAGGTTGACAAAGAAGCTGACGGAGCTGCTGATGCTGTCAAAATATTGGAAAAAGAAGGAAAGAAGGATCACAAAAATTTTGTAAAGAATTCCAAGACTAAGGGAACAGATAAGCAGAAGCACTCTTTGGGGAACTATATAAATAGAAATATTATTGGATAATATTCTCAAGGTGTTAAGACAAAAGGAAAAAATGAAGAGAAGAGAGGAAATTTATAAAAAAGTCATAAACCAAATTTACCATTTCAATATGGTCACCGTTGAAGATTCTACTGAACATTCAGGTATTTCTAACCTTATCACCAAATGGTTTTTGGTAGAACTGTTTAGGAATTAGCAAGATGAGTGAAACATGTGTTCTGGCTTTGGCTGGGATTGAATCACATGTTAATCGATATAATTTGCTTTTTAGAGTTGAAGATACTGAACACGCGTAGATTGATGGAGAGAGTCAACCAACACGTCACATCATGATTTTACTAGCTCGATAATACGCCACATATGTAAAAAGAGCATATAAAGAGGGGTTCAACCCTGGATCAAACCTCATGCATGAGGCTTGGGAAAAATATACATGGTGAGTGAGTTGTAGTAGTGGTGATTATATTTGTACATGGGTTTATTGCCTCAAATGTTATGATCAACCTTGGAATAGAACTGAAATACTTGCTGTGAATATCGTATGATTGTGAATTATTTCGAGTAGAAAATCATGGATTTGATATTGTTAATTATATAGATATTTGATGAAAAATACACATTAAATGCAACCTTTATATTATTTTACGTAAAACTTTCTGTATTACATCATATATGAAAATCAATGATTATTTTATACAAATCAAAAACATTGATGTATTTTCTTTTCAGCCATCACAACACATACTCTTCCAAGCGTAGTTACGTTCCTTTGGTTCGTAACGCGTGTAGAATATTACTAAATATGTGCTATGCTTCGATGTTAACAGTATCGATGATGTAGAAAAATAGAATCCGACCATTAGCAGGAAAGGGAGAACAACCCTGAAAGTTGCAAATGACTGGTCAAAAAAAAAAATGATATTTAGAAAATTTTCCAAGATGAAGGTTACAATCGTTATTAGACATACTATTCAATACGGCAGCTTTCTGAACGTTTCTTTGCAAAAGTCCAGCTTCGTTCCACTCTATATCCCGAAATAAGTTGTATAATCGTCATATTGATTCTCATCATAACTATGTTTCTTTTGAATAATATTAGATCACTTTTGATTATCTTTGCAGAAGTTTCTAGAGTAGCCGGTATTTTTGATTTTTGCTATGACTTTCATTGGTATAAGGCGTGAGATCAGTTTTTTTGAATATTCCTAAAAGTTAACCACAAGAAGAGTTGATATAAGGAATAAGAGCAATTAATGATAATAATAATAATTGACTAAAAGAATAACAAAATAAAATAAAAAGGCACAAAAGCCAAGTAAAAACTTTTTCCGAACAGTATTAATTCAACTAGCATTTTAAACAAATTTATCAATTATCATAGGTCAATAGGCAATCTTATAAGTTCATTTAAAAAAAATTTGGTAACATCGTAATACCCAAATTTTCCTTCGAACAGTTAGTTTTATTCTTATTTACGTCAAAGATGACTTTTAAAATGTATGATTAAAATCAAGTTTTCGTACACTGTAATTTATTGAGTCTTTTAATTAGCATTGGTTAGGCCAGAAAATACAGTTAAAACATGCTGTGTCTTTTTCAATGTTTAAGGCATTTTTGCATATTCATACATCTTAATCTTGATCAGAACGGTCAAAAAATACTCTGATAGAAGATAGTTAAAAGATGTGTTTTTTTGCAAAAACTACTCGGACATGCTTGTTTTTAAATTTAGATATCGGATGACTAAAAATATATAGAAGGCTACTGTATATATACCTTGGAAATAAAATTAATGGGAAAAAGCGTAGAGAACAGAGAATTTCAGAATAATACAATAATTGATAAAAAATTTTATATAAATTAAATGAATACATAATTGAGAAAAAATTATTTCTCGCAAGTTCATAATAATAAAGAGTATAAATTAAAGAATACATAATCGAGAAGAAATTATATAACTTTCTATCACATATAATTTTCTATCATACCGTATAACTTTTTATAGTCAGTTGCGGACAATTCTCCAATTACATTGGAATTCAAATAAATAGTGTTGTAAATCCTTTCTTTGTTTACTAAATTAAAAAGTCTGTATACTCTTATAGCATTTGTAAAATGCCTTTTTTCGCTCATAAATTTTTTTTCTTTTACTACAACCCTCCATTTCTCTCTATAATTATTATATTTTAGTAACTCCTCTCCAATATAATAATAATACATTAGTTTTTCAATTCTTCCTTGCTTTCTCCCCAATGTAGTTATTTTATTTAATACTTTTTCACATTTAGTAGCTAAACTATTAGTTTCTTCATATGGAGCCATTATTACCTCTTCAATTCTTGAGTCGGGTAAAAATATGTCATTAAGACATCTGTTAAGCCTAGCATCAGATTGTGTTGATTTGCTCATGATTGTGTTTATTATTAAAATTAAAGATAATTGGTTAAAGATAATTGGTTATTATTATATATTGATGTTAAAATTTGAATTGTTTTTTCGTTAGATTTGCCTTCATTTTTATATCTGTTTTTTTCATTACAAGATTTAATACGTACCGTAATATATGCCAGTCGCATACCATATATTATGGCACCAGTCGCATACCATATATTATGGCACCAGTCGCATACCATATACTATATACCAGTCGCATACCACATACTACTATATACAGTATATATATACCAACCACATATACCACACTACTATATATATATATATATACCAACCGCATACCAACATACATACCACACTGACCATGTACACAATACTATATCTATATATCATGCATTGTCTAATCTCCTAATTTGGTATATTTTTAATCAAAAAAAAAATTGCGAAATACAAACCTTATTTATTTTTTGCGACACATTACTAAATTCAATTACTTTATTTTTCGCGACACATTACTAAATTCAATTATTTTATTTTTCAATCTCATGCATAATACTTTTAAAAATTTTTTTGCGACAAATTACCAAATTCATATTAATGTTAATGATATTCATTAAAAAGTTTTTTTGCGACAAATTACTAATAATAATAATTATTATTATTATAGTTGACGGGCAATACAAATACTCGTTTTTTACTAAACAAATCGATGTTGTGCATTGGTGAGAAATGTTTGCTGAAATGGTTCCCATAACATTCTAAAATATCACATTGGACTGATTGTTATTGATAATTTTATGATGCTCAAAAAGTCAAATTAAAATTTTTTCGAAAAAGTAGCACTTGGAGCTATTTTAAGATACATTGTTTTAACACATCTTGGGAACTTGGAACATGTTGTTCCGTTTGTTCTCATGTTCATAATTATTGAACAAATATCCATAGGAGAATTAACACAAAATGTAAAAAAAAAAATTGTGAATGTTTTATGCAAGACAATTATCACTATGCGTGAACAAACTTTAAAGGGCAATTGCGACTGAAATATACAACCAAAACTAGATCTTTTTTTTTTTTAAAAAAAAAAGATTGAACTTTCAATTTGTTAGTTCAATTAAAACATCATGTCTCAATTAACAGACTTTGAATAATTGGATGTTGGGAAGCAGATGAAAGCACTTGTGACATTGCTGATGCACTCAATCATTCTCAGTCAAAAGTAACTCGTACAACAAAAGCATTTAAGATCGAACTACTATCGCTCCTCCAAAAATACAAACGAATTGGTTTCCTATTTAATGGATGAGTGGGCTAATCTTGGTCGCTGTAATTGAATCAAAAGGAAAACCCCGACAAAATATTGAATGAATGAATGAATGAAATATTTATGCTTCTTTGATACTTTTGATAAAGATTTATTATGTAAAATATTATACAAATTGTGGATGAGATTTTTTTTGTTATTTTTACATTTTGTACTAATTCTCCCATGAATATTGTTCAATAATTATGAACATGAGAACAAACGGAACAAAATTTTCCAAGTTCCCAAGATGTGTTAAAACATTGTATCTTAAAATAGCTCCAAGTGCTACTTTTTCGAAAAAATTTTAATTTGACTTTTTGAACATCATAAAATTATCAATAACAATCAGTCCAATGTGATATTTTAGAATGTTATTAGAACCATTTCAGCAACCATTTTCTCACTAATACACAACATCGATTTGCTTAGTAAAAAAAACAAGTACCGCCTATTCGATTATTTTTGCGGATCATCAAGTGAGTCGATACTTTTTGTAGATTAATATAATTTTTCATATAATTAGCCAGTAATTGAAATAAAAATTCACCACAAAATATGGATACATTTCTTCAGAATTAGCAGAATCATTATAAAGAAATATTTAATTAATCAAGTTATTTATGTTTTCAAATTAAATAATGATTAATAATAATCTCTCACTCAATTTCATTATCTTCTAGTTTTTTTACAGAAATTTTAGCAATATCAATATTATTTAAGTGCTAGGTTCTTTTTCATTTTAAATATTTTTATTCCGCAAATGAATTAACATTTTACTGCTGGCATTAAACAAAATTGGCTAGAATTATAAGAGGGTCAATTTCAATTTACATTGTTTTTTTTTTTTTTTTTAAAGTTACATGAAAATTTAACTCATAAAGACCAATTATTTTGGATGTATTACTGTGATACGCACTGTAGTAGATAATACGTACTAATACTAATCACCAGTGAAAATTATTTGTTACGCGCCATTTAATCAATTCTCTACAAAACAAGTTTTTAAACAGTGAGTTTCGTGAAATACAGATTAATATTGTGCAATGATATATTATTATAAAATTACATGGCTCAATCATATACATATATATTCGTTCGGAGAATCAAAATTAGCACCGGATGCGAAACATATTAACCAATGATGCAATCTCTAATAAAAATAGACTATTTCATGACCAGATGATGCATTGATTGAGTAGTCTAATAAATTACAACAAAAACATATAAATAGACCCACTACCCCACTCGTGGACCAAAAAATCTGTGCATTGGTTTTGCTTTTTATGTTGTATTCGAATTCGAGGGACGAGGCGCCGTAGTGCCAAAATCGCGCTCTATGTGTGATTTGACTTTACACGTTACATTCAAATGCAAGATATCCATCTATTATATTCGTTCAGAGTATCAACATTAGACAGTCGTAATATTATTATATCAATATTTTTGTTTTATTCGTTGCGTTGAGCAAAAAATTTATTTTGTTTGTTCACATACAA